CTGAAAGACTAGGTAAAACTCAAAACGTACAATAGATGATAGGAAAGGGAAGGAAATGGCTCAAAGGAAGGAATGACTAGAATGAAGGAAAGAAGAAAAAAGAAAGAAGGAAGGCAAAACATAAATATATATATGAATAGCTTCGATGATTGTATTGCTGTTGTCTAATGGTGTATTGAAATGAACAGTTAATGCTCATAATTTTTTATGTTCTCATCGACTTTGCATGCTTGTGTCTGGTGGTCTGAGCAACTGATTTGACGGTAACAATTTGCAATGGGATTACAATGGTGAACTCCTACGGTCTTGTCTAGTGAAACTCTGTATTATCTCTGAGGTTTTATTGAAGAATTATTTTCTTACTCTCTTTAATGGTTTGAGCAACCTTTCATTCTTACATCTGATAATCTGAGCAATGTAGTTGAGGATTGCGGTATGCAACTTAACAACCACTGTTGATTTGTATTAATTTGTTTTGAGACCCCGTATCACTTTGAATGTTTTTGCTTTGATTTGTTTATGTTCAGGATACTGCTATGCTGCTACTCTTCTATTATTTTGTTTGTTTGTTTGTTTCTCGTGTACTACTCTCTAAAATAAAAAAAAAAGGCTTTCCATAGAAATCAGGAGAGTAGGTAAAAATTAAAATTGCCCCTTAGCTATAGAAAATAATCAGAAAAAAGAATAAATGCTATTTTTTTCTGCATCAGGAACTATTTATTTTTTTCTTTTAAAAGCCAGATATGAAAACATGGAATGCTTCATGAATTTGCGTGTCATCCTTGCACAGGAGCCATGCTAATCTTTTCTGTATCGTTCCAATTTTAGTACATGTGCTGACGAAGCTAGCACTGCACCAGGAACTATTTCATTTTTATATTTATATTTAATTTGCATGTGTTATTTAGCAACTTCTCCAAGTACTGTGCCCTGATTTCCTCATTCAAAGTTGAGGCTGAAAATACTACTCATATCAATGGGTATTATTTCATTTATGGCAAAAATATATTTAATATACTTTGGGGACCGGAAGCAACTCCACGTAATAAGGATATGGATGCTGTATGCAGGATTGGTCTTTAAAAGCAGAAGTCCACTTTGTTTGGGAATTCATTGGTTGTGTAATAGACCAGGAATAAGCCAGCCACTTTTGATACAGACCCTGGCCTGCCAGTGTGCATTCACAGAGCATGGTGACAGCAGTCTCCTGTGTCTCTCATCTTTTATTTTATCCCCACTGTTTCAAGACAGACTTGACAAGGAAAGAGAAGAAATTTATTCTGTGACTTATAGCTTGTCCTCACTGTAAGTTGCAGCTTGAAATTTGAGGACAGTGAGGAGAGATTGCACAAAACACAGAATGCCAGATACAGTCACTTGTTCACTTTCGTACTGCATAGTTTTAATCATTTCCTATTAAAATAGTTTCTTATTAAGATAATTAAACCTCAGTTAATCTGGAGACAACTACTGAGACCAGCAAATACAGTAATTGTGCCCAGAGAGGGAACTTTATTCATCGGGGACAGAGATGCGCAGGCAAGGGGTCCTTCTTCCTCACAGCATGACAGCGATGAGAACTGAAGTCTTGGTGGTGAGACTTCGTAGCAGCCAAGAGCTCTGGCATTCCTGAAGTGCAGATATGACCAGGGAGCCTCCCAGTGCTGGAAGGACTGGCCCAGAGCGAGACTGCACCATAGCTGCCAAGGTGAGTGGCCATCGCGTGTCTTTGGTTTACTTAAAGTATCTTGACAGTTTCCCTTGGAAACCTCACTCTGCTCTCGGACTGAGCAAGGAGAAGTCCAGAGGGTCTTTGAGTGGCAGGATTCTCCCTTCTCAGCCATTTGAAAAGCAAGTGCATCATGCCAAAGAGACAAAGTGGACCAGTTCCAAGTACAAGGACTCTAGAAATGCCAAATCATCTTTATCTTTCAGTTCAGGACACTGTACTGTCAGAGAGCTCTGGGCTGGGTTGTTGCCTAAGGTTCTCTCTTTCTTTGCTTTGAGAAGTCAGAGACATAGGAGCTATTCAATATTCTGTGAAGACCTCTGTTTCTGTAGCCTGAAATTTCACTGCCTTTATAAATCTGTCCACAACAGTACCTTTCGCAAAATTTGAATGCTCAATTTTTGGTGAATTTCTGCACCTCAATATGGATCCACTCCAGAATTTTTATTATGGTTCCAATTTCTTAAGTGCCTTTCTGTTTCAGTTGAAGTTTTCCTCTTTGTGTGCATATATAAATCCCATAGAGCCTAATGCACAATATTATGCCATGCTTTTAACAAAGTTTAACTCATTTTATGCATCCCTTACAATGGAATAATTTTAATTATGAAACGAAAATCTGGCAAGGAGCAATAATCTCACTTTTACTTGAGAAGCTGGGCCTGAGTGGGAAGCTTTCAGGAGCCTAAGCACTTATGTGTCATAGCCAGATGGGCATCTACTTTTAAACTCCTTTTTGGAGAAAAATGTCATAATAAATAATGTTCGAGAACTTGTAACTCTTGGCTATCCGAGTCTCAGCCCATTTTTGCTGATTCACAGAAATAGACATCTGCGTAGATGTGGAAGAGATCAGTAGGAGAAGCTGTTATTGAGAAAGTGTCTATTTATGGTACTTTCCTTAAATAATTGTGAAATAACTATAAGTTCTATTGTATAGTAGCATATGTAATAAAATTCAAGTGAGAGTAGACCATGAAGTTGTATGACAATTCTGGTGAGGACCCTGAGCTGCACAGATGTTGGAGGACAGCTGTCTTTCATTCCACCCCTTGCACCTGCAGGAAATGGCTAACATTGTGTGTGTCAGACAGCCTTTTTGCTGTCAGCTCACTTGTGGGTAAAAGAAAGGAGGACGTGCAGAATCAGTGCATGCTGTGTGGGCTGGGAAATAGCACAGGAGTACCATTAATTTCAAACACTTAATGTGTGTGAATAATCACAACTTAAAAATGCATATATTTTAGCCATTTTAGAAAGAAGGAAAATAATTTATGAAATTATGTAAACATTTCTTACATATTCTCTTTTTGATCCAAGGATTTCACTTCAGAACATGATCTTGCAGAAAGATAAACTTGTTCCTGGAAGACACTCAAAATGAATAGACATTGACTACAGTATTATTTTCAAAAGAAATCTAAATAGCAAATGAAAGGGCCATTTTATTTGTTATTTAAACAAATTTGGGAATACCTATCCATCTAAGCATTTTTTTATTGAGCTTTAAAAGAATGGGCAAGGGCATAGTGTGATGCTATATAATGGTATCTATGTTACATATATAATTAATTAGAAAAACTATTCATGGTAGTAATATTTAGAACAGAGTAGAATATATTTAGTTGTATATCTGTAGTGTTATGAACCTTTATAAGAATACTTAAGTAAACTACTCAAATACTTGAGTAGTTCTCTCCTGAGAGAAACTATGTCAATAAATACAGTACGTGGAATTCTATTGTTTTCTTATTCATTAACCATTTAAATACATGTTAAACAAATGAATTAGTAATGTGCAAAACAATTTGTCACATTTGCGGGCTGCACAGACAAAGGCCATCTGTCTCCATCTTTAGAAATCCACAACATATTCTGGCCTTAAATTGTTTACTTTTTATTTTTCTTAAGTTGTATCATATATACATATTATATGTATTTGTGTAGAATGGATAGTTCTTTTAAGGTCTTTCTTCCAGCCATTTGAAAATGCATGATGTTGTTTCAGTTACTTCACAGATCCTGGGGAGTGACAGAGACTTCCACTCTGCTATTCAGAGTCACTCTTCTATGTCTCCCTTAAGGCCTTGTTTTCATTCTTTTGTAATGTTTCCATTTTATTACTGTATATTTGTGATATAAAATAATTACTTTCTTCGTGGTGAAATGGTGCATACACACATTGCTTCCTGACCACTTTTACTTCTCCTTCACCTCCCCATCATCTTGTCTCCATCCACCCCCAGATCACAGTCTGTAATAACAGTGTTGAATGCCACTGGTGCTTATTTCACTGTACTATATTCTGAAAAAGTTAAGCAAATAATTCATGTTACTTTGCCACATTCCCTACTAAAACATTTAAGAGTCTATCTTTTTCGTATAACTGTGTCTCACTTGAAGAAAATGGTATGTTACATATCTTAATTTAGCAGTTTTTCTGGGACATACTTTTCCCAATGTCTAGAATAAAGAACAAGAAAAAGCAAGCAATCCCTGAATGGGTCATTGGTCACGGATTCAAGAGGAAGAAATGTGAACCTAGAAAATGCAATCAAGAATGGCTTTGGAAAGAAGTATCATGAAGAGGAGATGATTGAACATCAGAGATATAAAGTGTTTAGATAAAAAGTTGTTGTTTAGTGTAGTGGCAAAACATATTTACAGTTTATCTGGAATTTATCTTCCCCAAATTATTGCTATTCTATTTCCCTTTGTATTAGCATTTTTTCAAATGAGACTCAATACCTGACGTTTACAATTCAAAAGAGGAGAGGTGTATTTGGCTCAGATTTTGCAGTGGTTCAGTCCATTGTTGGCTGTTTACACAGGCAACGGCATGGTTGGGAAGGCAAGCAACCTGCCTTACAGCCCCTCAACCCATGGCAGCCAGGAAGCAGAGGAGAATGGAGGAGCTGAGTATGTCAACACATTCTTCTTTGTCAAGCCCTAAGTATCTTGATTTCTCTGAGTAGGCCCTGGCTCTGAGTGTGAGACTTTCAGGGTACATTTTAGATCTAAACCATACACACTCTGCATACTCAGAATTAAATTGAGGAAATTTAAATCCTATCTAGAATCATGAGTAGAAAATAACTAAAAGTTGAGAAGCCCAAGACTAAAATTTTTACACACCTAATAAAGTAGGAGATATGAAACTGAAACTGTAAACAATGATAAGAACACAATGACATGGCTGGAAGTACATCTCTTAGTACGTAACTTCTGCATGATTACAGATTTTTTTTTATCAAAATAGAAGTAATAAATTGAACACCAAATCAGGCTGTATAAAGTAAAGATCCCTAAACACTACTAAAATCTGGCAAAAATGCTTAACCTTCAAATGCAAAAACACAGGAAGATTTTCCATGAAAGCAACTTAGCAATACTATCACCTAGACTAGTTATAGTCCAGTTTCTAAAATGTGTAACACAAGAAAAATCTTGAAAGCACCCAGAAAGACCCCATGACCTACAAGGCAACAGTAATATCTGAATAATAGTGGATTTCACCTAAGACTTCCTGGAATGGAGACAGAAATCTACTGTTAACCAGTTCCTAAATCCCATCCGAGCTGTTCACAGAAACACTTTGGATCTCTAGCAATCATTGTCAGTTTAGAGCCAATCTTTGTTAATTTCTGAAATTCCTGATTTTTCTGTTTCCTTTAGAACCCTACTAAATGACTGCAGGTTCTTTGGGAAAAGTGGAATGAAGACTTGCAGAGTACATTTTTCATGATGCAGCAAGGTTATGAGTGAAAACCCACATTCTGCATCAGTTGATGAGTGATGGACCTGCAAAGTGGCTTTTTTGGGAATGATGAGGAGCCAGGATGATCTGTTCTAGAGCTTTGCACAGACCTAGACTGTAGCTCTTTATTTAGATCAATAAAGTCATTGACATTCCCAGATACTCCATTTCGAAAATCACCGTGAGCAGTCAGTCAATGTGAAGGATCTCCGCAAGTGTCGTAGTTTACATCATCCTCCACTGTGCTAAGCATGGCCATCTTGTCCTTAGTGAGTAGGTGCCAACAAGTGATCTTGAAATCAGATGAGCACCCGCTGTGTGCAGAGGCTCCAGTTAGGTGGTAGCATTTCCTAATTAGTTGTTAATTCATGAGAAAGGACCAAAAATCCTTCTAAACCTCCTTAGCTACCCCACGAGTATCTTCAGATATAGAATGAAGAAAGTGGATATCCACACACAAAGGATAGAAATCGAACCCTAATTTACATCACACACCACACTCAGCCCAAAATGGATATAGATTTAAACATAAAAACCAAAATAATAGAACACTTCAAATACAGTGAAGGAAAACACTGCTTGATATTGGTTGTACCAAGAAGTTTTTGGTTATTATGTCAAAACAGAGGAAAAATTGAAAAACTGAGAGAAAATTATTTCTGAGCATACAGAGAGTCATCAAGATGATGAAAAGCAGCCCATGGAATCACAGAAATATATACCAAACATTTGTCTAATAAATCTTTAGTACCCAAATTATATAGGAACTCATACATCTCTATAGCCCCCATACTCAAATAACCTGCTTAAATAAGGCCAAGATGTCTGAAAAGATTCATTTTCCAAAGACGACTACAAACGGCTAACGTACACATGACCTGAAGCCCCGCCTCAATAATCATCAAGGAAACACAAATAAAATCAACAGCAGACATCATCTCACACCTTTAAGGATGGCTGTTACCCAAGAGACAATGGATATCATGTGTTAGCAAGAATGTGGGGAAAGTTTCTCTGAGTTGTAGAATAGGAAGTCTTTGGATTTCTTGTGTAAACTAGTGATGCTAATGTAAATTTCTATAGCAGTTATGGAAAAATATGCAAAAATTTAAAATTTGGCCATAGCAATCTTGAGCAAAAAGGGTAAAGCAGGGTGCATTGCACATCTGAATTCAAAATACTACAAAGCTGGAGTGATCAAAATATCAGGGGAATGGCAAAAAAAATAGACAAAAACAGTAACAGAATGGAAAAAAGTCTAGAAGTAAACAAACATGTCTGTACTCAACTGATGCTACTGAAAATTGCAAATAACAGGAATTAAACATTACACATCGGGGCCCTGTGTGCTCCCTGAGCTGCCTGGGGATGCTGGACCAGGTGGTCTGAAATGCACACTAACTGCAATTCATGTCTGGACCCTGCCTGCTACATCAGCTGTCTGGAGATCCCAGACACTGTGGCCGACATTCTGCTGCATCACAGTTTGTGTCTGAACCCCAAGAGAGCCAGGTGTGCTCCATCAACTTCTTGGGGACAGTAGACCAGGTGGCCCATGATTCCACCACCATTGCAGTCTATGGCTGGGCCCTGTGTGTGCCTTCAGCTGTCTGGAGACACTGGATCAGGTGGTCTGCGATCTGCTGCCATCAGGGTTTGCGTCTGGGTCCCTGGAGAGCTAAGTATACTCCCCCAACTGTCTGGTGATCCAGGACAGGGCAGCCCATCTCCACTGCCATTGTGGGGCAAGGCTGACCCCCAGGAAAACTAGGGACACTAGGCACCTTTGGTGAGCCACCAGGGAAGAGTGAGACTGGGCACTCCACCTCCAGCATCAAAAATGACAAGATGAAGGAGCAAAAGGCAATCTCAGAACTCCACCCCACCCAGAACATGTCCAGGAAACACTGACATAGGAGAACTTGGAAGTCATACACCTAAATCTCTGAAATGATTGCAACTGAAGTAGAGAAACAACTCCATTAGGCTATACAAGAAATCAGATCAGAAATAATCTCTGAGGTAAAAAATTAAATGAAAACAATAATGAAAGAATTGCTCAGCAAATCTAAAGAAGACATATAAAAGATAAACAAGCATAGAAAAATGATGGACATGCACTAAGTAATGAAAAGGATGAAATTACCACAGATTCCACAGAAATTCAGAAGATCATTAATACCTACTTTGAAAATCTTTACTCCCATAGGATAGAAAACTCAGAAGAAATGGACAGATTCCTAGATATGTACGAATTACCAAGACTGACTCAAGAAAATATCAAATTCCTGAACAACCCAATATCAATTAATGGCATTGAAAGCATGATTAAAAACCGCCAAAGAGAAGCTCAGGCCCTGATGGATTCACAGCAGAACCTTACACGAAATTTGGAGAAGATTTAATACCAACCCTCCTCAAACTCTTCAATGAAATTGAAAAGGAAGCAATTCTCCCTAACTCATTTCTGGAGGCAAGTATCACACTGATACCAAAACCAGAGAAAGACCCAACCAAGAAAGAGAACTACAGACCAATCTCCCTCATGAATATAGATGCAAAGATACTCAATAAGATACAAGCAAATAGGACGCAGCAAATTATCAAGAAAATCGTACTTTATGACAAAGTCGGATTCATTCCAAGAATGCAGGTTTGGTTCAATATTCG